TTAGTCACTATCCAGCTACCACTGTGTACATAGTCATGGAACACTGGTCACTTTAATAAATGTTTACATACAGATTTAACCACTTCATATGTACATTTGGAAAGTATTCAGACCCCTTGACTTTTTCCACATTTTGTTAAGTTACAGCCTTATTCTAAAATTGATTAAATAAATAATAATCCTCATCAATCGACACACAATACCCCATAATGACAAAGCGAAAACAGGTTTTTAGAAATGTTTGCAAAGTATTCAGACCATTGCTATGAGACTCGAAATTGAGCTCAGGTACATCCTGTTTCCATTGTTCATCCTTGAGATGTTTCTACAACTTCATTGGATTCCACCTATGATAAATTCAATTGATTGGACATGATTTGGAAAGGCACGCACCTGTCTATATAAGGTCCAACAGTTGACAGTACATGTCAGAGCAAAAACCAATCCATGAGGTCGAAGGAATTGTCCATAGAGCTCCGAGACAGGATTGTGTCAATGCGCAGATCTGGGGAAGAGTACCAAAACATTTATGCAGCATTGAAGGTCCCCAAGAACACAGTAGCCTCCATCATTCTTAAATGGAAGAAGTTTGGAACTACCAAGACTCTTCCTAGAGCTGGCCGCCCAGCCAAACTGAGCAATCGGGGGAGAAGGGCCTTGGTCAGGGAGGTGACCAAGAACCCGATGGTCACTCTGACAGAGCTCCAGAGTTCCTCTGTGGAGATGGGAGAACCTTCCAGAAGGACAACCATCTCTGCAGCACTCCACCAATCAGGCCTTTATGGTAGAGTGGCCAGACGGAAGCCACTCCTCAGTAAAAGGCACATGACAGTCCGCTTGGAGTTTGCCAAAAGGCACCTAAAGGACTCTCAGACCATGACAAACAAGATTCTCTGGTCTGATGAAACCAAGATTGAACTCTTTGGACTGAATGCCAAGCGTCACGTCTGGAGGAAACCAGGCACCGCTCATCACCTGGCCAATACTATCCCTACGGTGAAGCATGGTGGTGGCAGCATCATGCTGTGGGGATGTTTTTCAGCGGCAGGGACACTAGTCAGGATCGAGGGAAAGATGAACGGAGCAAAGTACAGAGAGATCCTTGATGAAAACCTGCTCAGGACCTCAGACTGGGGCGAAGGTTCACCTTCCAACAGGACAACGACCCTAAGCACACAGCCAAGACAACGCAGGAGTGGCTTCGGGACAAGTCTCTGAATGTCCTTGAGTGGCCCAGCCAGAGCCCGGACTTGAACTCGATCTAACATCTCTGGAGAGACCTGAAAATAGCTGTGCAGCAACGCTCCCCATCCAACCTGACAGAGCTTGAGAGGATCTGCAGAGAAGAATGGGAGAAACTCCCAAATACAGGTGTGCAAAGCTTGTAAGGTCATACCCAAGAAGACTCGAGGCCAAAGGTGCTTCAATAAAGTACTGAGTAAAGGGTCTGAATACTTATGTAAATATGATTTGCTTTGTCATTATGGGGTATTGTGTGTAGATTGATAAATATTTAATCAATTTTAGAATAAGGCTGTAACGTAACAACATTTGGAAAAAGTGAAGGGGTCTGAATACTTTCCGAATGCACTGTATGTGTATGCAACCAGTAAGATTTGATTTGGAGCTATGCACTCAAAATAATCCCATGCGAGACTGAGCCTTTTGCGACCGACCACTGCTGGTGTTGGGTTTGCTGCTGCCACTGTTCACACCCATGCTCCGCGCTCTCCCTCGTATTTCTTCCCTGTTAGCTACTGATAGTGATGCAGAAGCCACGCCTATTTGAAACATTGCTATCTACTGGCAGCATTTACCCGCGAGATTCATAAACTCAAAAACCTTTGTTTACTTTAATAACCTTGGTCAAATGCACACAGTCAGACTAAGGTGGTGGGATACAGTATAAATGCTACTGTATGGAGTGAGTGGGGAATATTTTTTGACAACATTTTGTACAATCGTTGCATTTAGAGTCCATAAAAATCATGCTGGCCATTCCTTTGACAACCTTTCACTTCCTCCATACTACCGGTATACCAGAATGATCATGTTTAAATGGCAGAGGCATAGATTAATTATTTTTTCAGTTCAAATTAGATTCAAGGAAAGATTCACCCATTTTGAATTATCGTATTTGTGCATCTCTGAGCGATGTTCTAGCGATTCCCGGGGTCAAAAACATGAAATGACCCTGGGAATCAATAGAACATCGCTCAGAGATGCACAAATACGATATAACATTCAAAATGGGTGAATCTTTCCTTTTGAGTTTCTTATCAGAAGTTCACTTAATGTTCACCAATTTTAATGTAAAATAAAAAAAAAACATGTAGTTAAACTATAATTAGGATTTCATTAGATGTTTCCCATAAACTAGCAAGCTGTCCAAAGTACAGAAATTACACATAAAAATTCCCATCTCAAAAGAATGTTCTCACCAAAGGTTTGTTTAAATAATATAAAAAATAAATAAATTGCACAAAATATGCTATTTGCTTGTGATTCCACTGTACTAAACACCTCAGACATAGAGGAGAAGATATGAAACAGTTAAGGATTTTCAAAAAGGGTAAAACGCAATTTACAGTGTACAAAACATTAGGAACATCTTCCTAATATTGAGTTGCACCCCCTTTTGCCCTCAGAACAACCTCAATTCATCAGGGCATGGACTCTACAAGGTGTCGAAAGCATTCCACAGGGTGGTGGACCATTCTTGATAGACATAGGAAACTGTTGAGTGTGAAAGAAAGTGTGCGCCTGGCAGCTACTACCATACCCTGTTCAAAGGGCACTTAAATCAGTCATGCCCACATACACAATCCATGTCTCAATTGTCTCAAGGCTTAAAAATCCTTCTTTAACCGGTCTCCTCCCCTTCATCTACACTGATTGAAGTGGATTTAACAAGTGACGTCAATAAGGGATAATAGCTTTCACCTGGATTTTCCTGGTCAGTCTGTCATGGAAAGAGCACTCAGTGTATAAGCTATTCTTATACAAATAAACACCACACAAAGTAAGATAAAATCTACTTTTTTTAATGTTGGTACATTAGTCTTAAGTTGCTAGTCAACAAATTAGCATTTGATGAAACAGTGATGAAGTGTGTGGATACAACCAGAAGTAGTGATCAGTTTCACATTCATTTCCTGTACATACGGTGAAAACGGACACTTCTTCTGACCTAAACATTTCAAAGTGTTATTGACAATAATAAAGTACTGTATAGAGAGATGGGTTAGAAAAACAAATGTGTCAAACTCTGATCTGATAAATGTAAAAACACCTTAAATATTAAATGAAATGCAGGTAAAAAAAAGGTTTTGGAAAATCGGCTTACTTAAATGTAGGCACTAAGTATAACCATGGGAAAAAAACGTATCAACGCTAAGACATAATGCAAGGCTTCTTGGTTCGCCATATCTTTTTGCCACATTCTGTTGCCCATTTCTCAAACCACCAGCAATTCCACAAAAACTAAGACATTTGTTAAAGCAATAGACGTAATTTTGTGACGTGTCAGGCTAAATGAAAAATAACAAAATAAGTAGCAAACTGGGGCGAGAGGGGCACAAATATTCAGTCAAGATCAAATTGCTCTAAACTGTAAATTCATCTTTACTTAGAGACTACCATGGTGATCCACAGACCAAATGGACACAATCACTTATGAGATGGGCTCATCTACAGTCAAATAAGGTACCAATACAGTAATCTAAATGTTGGTTTGCCTGCCAACGACAAAACTAAAGTATTTATGTGTATTATTATACATGTAAAGGTAGAGAGACACTAAGAGCTATTGGTTGGTTGCATAGATTTTGGCTGTCGTTTCAAAAGCACAGTGTAACATGGGAATCCAAACTGAATCCCCCTACATTTCAATATTGTATCACGTCAAAAGATTCAGTTTGGACTCACATGAAGAGTATTCCCAATGGTCAACATGACATGATGTTTTACTAGCCAGATACTAGAGTCGTTTGCTGCTTTGAAAGACCTGCAAAGCAGAAGCACATTGGTTTACACTTTGATTCATGCATGCAGATCTAATCTACAAGGCTTCAATGTAATATTTACCGCAGTACAATTAACTGAACATTAATAAATATATACCCCTACCGTATATTGTATGAGTGCGACTATTTCGGTATAAAAATGATTCAATGCCACAGTCTCTTATAAATAAGAACTTACACCTAATGGCTCATCATTGTGAAAGAGATTGGTGATGTGAGAGTGTGTGGTTTAAAGCTACACAGAGTTCCTAACATGAGGAAGGCAACAATATGCTTACAAGGGAAGCTGGTAATATTATACAATCACTTCTACTCTATATCGGCTATTATTCCATCAATTCCAAATTCACTTTGAGCTGGTTGGACAGTTATGATGATTAGCTAGCTATATTTATAAAAGTAGGTATTTACATACATGTATGTCTTACATGAAACATGCTTTATCATGCTCTAGTGATAACTATTATTTAGTTCTTGAGGTAACAATTATCAATTCATAGCCAATGACTGCACAGCAAACCACCCTTGCCAGCCATACCTGTAGTTAAAAGGAACCATATGGCTTAAGATTCTGTACAAATCACTACAGTCATTCATACACACTCGCAGAGCCACACACACACACACATTAGTGGAGGCTAGTGGGAGGAGCTATAGGAGGACGGGCTCATTGTAATGTCTGGAATGGAATCAATCCAATATGTTATTTCCATATGTTCGATGTGTTTGATACCGTTCCATTAATTCCATTCCAGCCATTACAATGAGCTCTTCCTCCTATAGCTCCTCCCACCAGCCTCCTCTGGTACACATTATACTCTTCTTATAATCTTATTAACCCTCATTGTTATTTTCTTACTAATGATTACTTGAACACTCTAAATTGACTGACTAGGTAAACAACAACAGCTGAACGTACGGTAGGCCACCGCCACAGAGCTAGGGGTCGCTAACGCTGTTAGCTAGCCAGCCAATAGCCATGCAGCAGAGTAACAAAGGAATAATTTATGCTGGGGGAATTACTAGCTGACTGCCTGACTGAGGGGCTGTATTCACAGACTGAGCAGTGGCCAATGTGGATCGATGTATGTGATTGGCCTATATGGTCAAATGATTATTATTCTTATCTATACATACAGGTTACATTACATGACAGGTACAGTGATGAGAAGCTCGCCCTCTGGACGTATATAGGGGACAGCCAGACCTGGGTGGAATACTCCAGGTGTGCTGTGTTTAGCTTGTCAGGCGCAATGGAACCAATGGAATAATTCCAAAAGTGCAAACTCCACATGCCAAACAAGTTAAATCAAGCTCAAGTATTTTGAATATTTGAAATAGGTATTCAACCCAGGTCTAATAGGGAGGAGGGAGGGGTACCCACAATGCACTCCTGTTCAATCACAAAACAGTCTCCTCCAGACTCACAGTCTCTGTTCATGTCTGCTTCCACCTGTGCTGCCACAAACATGTCCCAAAGAATCTTCAAACCAATGATCAGTCAAAGGAGCATTCACATCCCTGATTTCACTGTTGACTGTTCCCTTCCATCACTGTTAGGAGCCTGTGGAGGGGAGGATTGTGCTCACACAGACGCATGTGTTACCCAAGGAGAGGCTATCGCCGCTTCAGAGTTCCAATGGGAGACAGTGTGGTGCTTAGAACAGGGGTGCCAGGGGACTGGCAGGGGGGGGGAAGGGAGGCTGAAGGGATTGGGGTGGTGTTAGGGGGGTGGGGGTGTTCATGGAACCCCCCTGGATCAGTAGATATCAGGAAGGTCAGAGTAATTCCTATCAAAGTAGCCCCCTGTGTAGAGCCAGTCCTGGGATGACGTATAGGGGTTTGTGCCTGACTGGAACCATCTGGAAGACACGATAAAACACAATTATGGTTATTATGGTTTACTTTAAAAAAATATATACCACCGTTTACCTTTTTGTTATTCAAGTATTTTATAAAAAAAATAAAAAATGGTTATCTTGAAATGCGAGGACGCCCAGTTGTCACCTAGTGGACCATTCCTCCTCGTCCTTGGAACGGTCTTTCCGCGCCAACCTCTGTTTCTCCTCCAGCCTCTCCTTCTCTCGACTGGCTTCATCTGCACAAACAAGAACATAGGATCTTCCATTACCTATTGGTACATGACCATTCTGACCACTGTATTCTTCTGTAATTAAAAGCCGATACACAACCCTAACTTCAATAAACCAGCCTCTAATACTTTGGGTATGTGGATATTTTACTGTTCAATGACATACTTAACAACCCCTCCACCAAAAAAAGAAAGAAATCTGAACACAAATAGGAAATGTGAATGCACCACCCAAAGGGAACGTTAGAGGGCAGCATCATCTAGCAAGTGTGGGGATGTAGCAGAAAGACTTCATTACCTATGTCTCCGTTCTCCATGGCTCTAATGTCGGGCCGCAGGCGGCAGTCTGTGGAGGCCAGGGTGGCCTGCATGCCAGGCTCCAGCTCATTCAGCGACATGGCAAAGTTAGTGAAGTTATACATCTGGAAAAACAAGATCATACAGAATTAACACCATCAAAATCGATGAGTGTGTGTGTGTGTGTAAACTTGAAGAAAAATAAGTAGGAGCACTTCAGGTATTCCAAAACAACCACAGGTGCTCTTGGAGGGGAATAGTAATTGAAAGGCAAAATTATAACCACAAATGGGTACTAAGTATGAGTCCAGGCACTCGTGTGGGTTTGAAAGTTAAAAAGCCTTTGTGAGCCAAGTCATTATTAAAATACACCAACGGGTATCGGCTTAGGCCTTCATCAGTGTGTGGAGGAGAAGCAATTAAATATCCTTGACACACCTGTGCCTAGGTGATCACAGGTAATTCATCTATTGGCCAATAGGGACCAGCATAATAACAGCACATCAAACACTGTCATAAGCAAAAAAAATTGCAAAAAATGTAATATTCAATGCATTCAGGGAAAAACCCATTTTACTGTAGGTAAATGGTAGAAAAATAGTGTGTAAGCTGTTGGGTATACGCTAAGCCCTGCGTGTGTGTGTATGAGCATGTGTTTGTTTACACGTCGGTGTGTTACCTTAGCAGAGTGTTGGGGTCGTGATGATATTCTCCACAGCAGGGTACTGCCAGGGATCACAGCTACTGTCTCCTGGACCTCAGGCATGTTGTCTGCAACATCGTTGTCTGCCCCCTCAGGCTCCTCCTGTGTACACGTACACACACGTCTAGATATAAATAGCACTTTTTACAAAATCAAATGAAAATGTGTATTTCCCTTCTGAATAAAGCAAAAACATCAGAAATGACTTAAGCAAGGGATATGTTCCATGAGTATACTATGTCTACTACAAACAGAATACTAAAATGAACATACACCATACTGTTCTCAATGGTTTACTATATGGGTCTTTCTATAAACTAGGGTACCAGTGAGGATTTTCTGCAGTGGACAACTTGTTTCCGCTGTTGATAAGTCATTGATAATAATCTGCCAATTTTGTTCATGTCATTACATTAAGATATAAGGGGGGAGTTGCGTCACTACAGCCTGGGGTTCGATCCGGGAGTCCCATAGGGTGGCGCACAATTGGCCCAGCGTTGTCCGGGTTAGGGGAGGGTTTGGCCGGGGGGGCTTTACTTGACTCATCGCGCTTTAGCGACTCCTTGTGGCGGGCCGGGCGCCTTCAAGCTGACTTCGGTCGTCAGTTGAACTGTGTTTCCTCCGACACATTGGTGCGGCTGGCTTCCGGGTTAAGCGAGCGGGTGTTAAGAAGATTGTCTGTTTTTGGGCATCGAGATCTCGGAAATGCACTGTGACTACGTAATATTTAGTGTGTCCTTATGTTACAGCGTGAAATCAGTTTTCATGGGCACACAAATCCAAAATAATGTCTGCGTTAGTAAAATCAAATGCTTCTAACCGAAAGTCACCTTAACTTGATACTTAAAACCAATATCAATATGGTCATTAACGTGGTTCTTCAATAATTATGCAGAATACTTGTCAGGTGACAAACAGCTGTTATGATACAGCGTGCGACCTAACAGCTAAAGTGCAGGGAAAACGTGATTGCAAAAAATGTCCAGAATATTTTGGTGTCACATTCATTACATCGGTGAAGACAGTTGTGCCGTGATCCACGTTGGATCTAATATCCCTAGTAAATTGATGTTGATTATGTGTTGTCTGCTTGATTTACAGCAGGATCTCGTTAGATTTAACAGAGAAAGCATCAAGGTAATGAGTGAATGTTTTCATGCGTTTCTGTGCCTCAGATTTAACACAGTCTACTGTGCGCAATTGTGTTGGATAGACTATTGCACAACACCATATTCCTTTCCATTATTCTGGATATTAGAATGACAACACATTACATAGTAGCCAAGTGGGCTTAAGGTCAATATACAGCATTTAAAACAGTCAACAGCAATATAATCAATTCAGGGCTTGTAAAATTATATCTAGGCTAAATATAAGCCTTCCACAACCATAAGACCCACTAATAATTACATCATTTTATTAAAATAGTTTAACCTGCCTTTTTGCAGTAATCATTGATCTGGCTTTTTATGAAAATGCCCTTTTTGTTACAAATTTAACCAGAACCATCCACATATAATGACCAAGCTCTTGTAGCAGGTGAACGCATTATAGAAAATAAACACAGGTCTCTCAAGCACAAGCCAACTTGCTAAGGAGTGGCCAGCTTAATCTTTACACTTCAAGACTAGCCAGGGTTGCCATGTCTGCGGTTTTCCTGCCAAATTGGTCTACTTTGAAAACAATGTCGCGGGTATTGGTCGCGGGTTGCGTTTTGTTTGCATACTTCTAAATTAAACCGTGGCCACCATGGCATTTCTCTTGTATTTTTTTTTATATCTATTAATTTCACTGTGACCTGCTTCTGCTGGCTATCAGGCAGTGAGGCAGGCTGCTGCTGAGTGAGTGTGTGAGTGTTGGGGAGGAACGGGAGGGCCGGAGGGGTGTGCGTGTGTGTTGAACACAGTCATTGGTGTTGAGAGATTGCTGCAGCAGGCAGCTGAGTCAAATGAGTGAGAGAGCAGCACGAGCTGCATCCTGACAGCACCCAGTCCTACCAATCATTACTAGAGCCAACACAGCAAGGGAGAGAAACTGAGAAATAATAATCCAACAGTTTCAGAGAGAGAACTATGTGCTTTCTCTCTGGGTAGGCTATATAGGCAGGGCGCCCCGTTGTCCCGGTGGATGATAACAAATATATATATGTCTGGGACGGTTCAAACAGACTTTGGGACAGTTCTAGGATGATAGATCCACAATTCATACAACTAGGCCTACTGTACATCAAAACACATTCAAAAGCAAATGAGGCTGATGCAACAGATCAGAACGTTTAGCTTAAACTATTATTTCTTCAAATTATTAGTGCAGCAAGACGCACACCAGTAGCCTATGCGCAAATGTTCCAAAATGCAATTAGCGGGAACACAAAAAAAATAATGCATATGCGAGTATTTTCATGTGACGTGAAAATATCCATTAGAAATGTAGAAAGAGGGGAGATCTACAGATGCAACAAGCAACATGGGTTGTTAATATGACTAAGATTGTGAATGCCGACTGCCTTCACTCAGATTGCAAGGTGGCTGGTACGCAACAGGCATTGGCCTTTCTCTCCGCTCGTGACCATTTCATCTGAATGAACTGTGCCTCAAATGTGTCAACAGAATCAAGACGTTAATGTTAATTATCCTACATTAGAATTGTCAAACATGACTGGCGTTTAGCCTAAATTTATGTAATTAAACTTTTCATTAAAGTTTAGCTACATATTCTGGCGCCTCTCATGTCAGCATCGATGTGGACATGAGGCTGTAGCCAATACACATATAACCTAGGCTAGACTTTTACATGTAGGCTAATTATTTATGTACATTTATGCAAAATGGATATAAATATGATTATTATAATGTTGGCTTTTTTTTAGAGGCTTTTTTTTAAATGTGGATTTCTGGCTCAATTGACAGCCCCATTTATCTATTTCAGTAGTAGGCTACTCGCATTAGTCTTTTAAAAATCACTGAATGACCTAGGTCCTACCTGGATAAGAAGATGCTTATTTCTCAGAATGAGAACGAGTTGTCAATTCCTTATATAAATGCTTTTTAAGCTCATTATACATTTATAAAACAGACTAAACAGCTAGCACATAACACTCTGTGGCTAAAATGCTGCAAGCCTTAGGCTACTTGGTACCGTAATGTTGTGCCAACAGAAACTGAACGTTGTTCCAGAATAAATGTTCATTAATACTCCAGTTTAGTAGTGTCTGCTCTGTGTGCAATTTTGGGAGTCAAGACAAAGAGGGCGTTAGAAAGGTTAAGTTCTCCTCTGTTACAGTAAAATAATGTCTCAACGTGTCTCAACGTGTCCTGGAACGTTGTGTCCTGGAACGTGCACACTGCAAAGCACAGAAAGAGCGAGGGAGACGAGACCAAAAAGACATGAGAACAAGCGGACATAAACGCTCATAAAAAACTTGATAATTGCAATACAGGCATTTGGAAATCCGCGCTACAAAATACATTCAAATTAACTCGATATGTCACCCAGCCCTATTCACAATATAATCTGGTGATCAGGTTATGAAATTACAAATACATTTTGGTGTCCATGTTACACCTGCAATTTTAAAGGATATATAGTCCTAGGTCTATGTTGTTGATGTTAGGTGGAGTTGTGGACTAATTTGGCATATATACACTTTTATTTCTCTAAATACACGAGGAACTTTGAAATGTTGATCCAATGTCACACATTGGCCCCTTAATTTATAGAAAGACCCATATATAGAACATACATAGGGGCTAAAGACTACCAACAGTGACCTAGACTACTGTTTTTTACCTTGACATAATGTCATGGCATGCTGCCAGAATCATCAGGAAATCAAAATCAGAGGACAGTTATCAAGAGAAGTAAATGTTGTATAGGCCTATTACAATGTGTCAAACAATAAAACACACGCATACACTATTAGGCTCAATCTGCTTTGAAAATAACTTGGGGCGGGGCGACCAAGCTATTGTGTGCAAGTAAAGCAAGCTCTACATTAGTATTATGAAATTAATGATATGGAGGCTGAGGTGTTGCTGTGTATGTATGTACAGTGGGGAAAAAAAGTATTTAGTCAGCCACCAATTGTGCAAGTTCTCCCACTTAAAAAGATGAGAGATGCCTGTAATTTTCATCATAGGTACACGTCAACTATGACAGACAAATTGAGGAAAATCACATTGTAGGATTTTTTTATGAATTTATTTGCAAATTATGGTGGAAAATATGAATTTGGTCACCTACAAACAAGCAAGATTTCTGGCTCTCACAGACCTGTAACTTCTTCTTTAAGAGGCTCCTCTGTCCTCCACTCGTTACCTGTATTAATGGCACCTGTTTGAACTTGTTATCAGTATAAAAGACACCTGTCCACAACCTCAAACAGTCACACTCCAAACTCCACTATGGCCAAGACCAAAGAGCTGTCAAAGGACACCAGAAACAAAATTGTAGACCTGCACCAGGCTGGGAAGACTGAATCTGCAATAGCTAAGCAGCTTGGTTTGAAGAAATCAACTGTGGGAGCAATTATTAGGAAATGCAAGACATACAAGACCACTGATAATCTCCCTCGATCTGGGGCTCCACGCAAGATCTCACCCCGTGGGGTCAAAATGATCACAAGAATGGTGAGCAAAAATCCCAGAACCACACGGGGGGACCTAGTGAATGACCTGCAGAGAGCTGGGACCAAAGTAACAAAGCCTACCATCAGTAACACACTACGCCGCCAGGGACTCAAATCCTGTAGTGCCAGACGTGTCCCCCTGCTTAAGCCAGTACATGTCCAGGCCCGTCTGAAGTTTGCTAGAGTGCATTTGGATGATCCAGAAGAGGATTGGGAGAATGTCATATGGTCAGATGAAACCAAAATAGAACTTTTTGGTAAAAACTCAACTCGTCGTGTTTGGAGGACAAAGAATGCTGAGTTGCATCCAAAGAACACCATACCTACTGTGAAGCATGGGGGTGGAAACATCATGCTTTGGGGCTGTTTTTCTGCAAAAGGACCAGGACGACTGATCCGTGTAAAGGAAAGAATGAATGGGGCCATGTATCGTGAGATTTTGAGTGAAAACCTCCTTCCATCAGCAAGGGCATTGAAGATGAAATGTGGCTGGGTCTTTCAGCATGACAATGATCCCAAACACACCGCCCGGGCAACGAAGGAGTGGCTTCGTAAGAAGCATGTCAAGGTCCTGGAGTGGCCTAGCCAGTCTCCAGATCTCAACCCCATAGAAAATCTTTGGAGGGAGTTGAAAGTCCGTGTTGCCCAGCGACAGCCCCAAAACATCACTGCTCTAGAGGAGATCTGCATGGAGGAATGGGCCAAAATACCAGCAACAGTGTGTGAAAACCTTGTGAAGACTTACAGAAAACGTTTGACCTGTGTCATTGCCAACAAAGGGTATATAACAAAGTATTGAGAAACTTTTGTTATTGACCAAATACTTATTTTCCACCATAATTTGCAAATAAATTCATAAAAAATCCTACAATGTGATTTTCTGGATTTTTTTTCCTCATTTTGTCTGTCATAGTTGACGTGTACCTATGATGAAAATTCCAGGCCTCTCTCATCTTTTTAAGTGGGAGAACTTGCACAATTGGAAGCTGACTAAATACTTTTTTTCCCCACTGTATATGCGTAGGTGTAGGTGTGTTTTTTTCCACTGGTTTCCAAACCTTTCCCTTGGGATTTAAAAAAAAATGTTGACTGAGATATGTATGACTTGTAATATCTTTCCTGCTAAAATAATGTAAAAATATATATATATATAATTTACTTTTACGAAAATACCTCCATGTTGTGAGATGCCCACTCACCGGACTCTTCTGTTTCTTAGAGTCTCCCTTCTTCTCAGCCTTCTTGTTGGACTCGTACGTCTGGGGGTCCACGCTCCATATGCACTCGGTCCACTTCCCATAGATCACACAAAGCTTATTTTTACTGCCAGGGACAGAGAGGGGAGGACACATCAGCAACCAAATACTGCTGTACTGACAGAGAATGACACTGTGCTATCATTGTGTGTTCTGTATGGCTCAGTTGGTAGAGCATGGCACTTTCAACCCCAGGAATGTGGGTTGATTCCCAGGGCCACTCATACGTAAAATGTATGCACGCATGACTAAGTCGCTTTGGATAAAAGAGTCTCCTAAATGGTAGATATGATTTATTATACCCACCAGGACCGTATTTAGTAGGGAGAAAACGTTTAGAAACCTTACTGAACACAACCCAGGCAAAAGTGTCACCGAAAACACTTGAAACTGGACCAGTGAATTCAGGACCAGAGAAGTAAGCCATAGTCTGTGTCTCAGTGATGCCAATACCTCCACATACCTCTTATCCTGAATGTAGCCCTCCACTCTGTGCAGCTCCTTCCAAAACATGCCACACGGCTTGAAGTTCAGCACACACTTATCTCCAGTACTGCTCAGAACAGACAGGGACAAGAACAATGAGGAGAATAGACAAACCACTCCATACCATTATGGCTCAACTACTGTCTTCACTCCATACCATTATGGCTCAACTACTGTCTTCACTCCATACCATTATGGCTCAACTACTGTCTTCACTCCATACCATTATGGCTCAACTACTGTCTTCACTCCATACCATTATGGCTCAACTACGGTCTTCACTCCATACCATTATGGCTCAACTACTGTCTTCACTCCATACCATTATGTCGTTACAAATACAAATTAAGGGGCGAATCCTAACTCCCACTTGGTTTCCCATTGACGTCAATGCATAATTAAGTGGAAATTTGACTTAATTGGAATTTAAGATTGATCACTCAGTCTGTTATGCTGAAAGTGGTGGATATATACATCTGTATGCTTCCAAACCAGAAATTGAAGGTAAATTAAGACAAACTATAATAGCCAGTCGTTTATTCACCTGTGGTTGAGGATCTCCACAGTGCCGTACTGCTCGATCCACAGTTTGCCCAGGATGACATTGTGTACACAGCAGAAAGGGTTGGTCCACGTATAGACCTCGCCGTGCCTGGGGAGAGGAGGGGAGGAGAAGGGCAACAAACACAGTCTCAGTACAATGGACTCACACACAACAAACAGAGACTTTGCAAAGGAAAATAGGATTATAGAAGCTGAAGAGGTACTGACTTTGACAAAGCAGAGAAAACAACCAAACAAAACCCCATGACAAGCTATAGGACAAAAAACCCACCCACCCACGTTTGACTCACTTGAGGAGTTCTAGTGTGATGGTTCCCTTGGGCTCAGCCTCCACACTCTTGCCCCAGAACTTGAGTTTGGGGTAGATGGAGCCGTGGAAGACAAAGTCCCCGACCAGGCTCTCAGCGTGGAAGGCACTGACGGGCGGGTGGTGGCTTACCTGCTCTGAGATCAGCCTGTAGCCCTGGTCCTCTCTGGGGGGGAGAGAGAGCGAGGGGGAAGAAGGGAGGGATGGATGATGAGAAAGAGAGCGAGAGCAGGCAGGAGAGAAGGAGACAAAGATTGTTATCATAGCATATTGAAAATAAGGTCAGAGGAGGAAAACAAGTGTTGTTGTTAAATTCATGGGTGAAGGCAGGTAAAGCTGGGAGTAACTGTCCAGAGCTACACAGCTTTTTACAATGCCTCTCTATGCCACTTTGTATGGGAGTGTTGCAGTCCTGTCCCCTCACCGCGTTAGTTCATAGGTCTCTCCTAGCAGAGGGTTGAAGGGCTTTCCAGTCCTGTCCCACTGCGACGCCACGGCCGATACGGCAAAAGCAGCTACCGCCTGGGAAGACCGGCGGGGAGGAGTCAGCGACAGGATTCACTGGCTCACACACACAGTCCAGTTGTGATCCAGCTACATATGTATCAACTGGGTTATCAGAAGCTTAATTTGGTGATACAGTGTGCGTGTATGTGTTCAGTCTCTCTCTGACCTGCATGCGCTCTATGGAGTCGGACAGCGAGCAGGCTTTGTTGATTAGGTATGTGTGCTCCATGTACTCGGTGATCCGCTGGAGGAAGCTCAGAGGCTCGTTGAATACGATGGGCATGGTGATCTTGGACAGCTCCTACACACGTGCGCGCGCACACACACAGAGAAAAGCTAGATTAGAACGCAAAAATACTTTCACACAAGTGGGATGAATTCAAACTCACTAGCGTAGTAGAGACCCAGAGAATGTCATGGTCTAAAAACAAATGTGTGATCATGAAGTGATTCTTTAGATATGGTCCATAGCCCTTACCAGTCCAATGCATTTCTTCAGAATGCCCCACACACTAAAGTTGTTTCTGGAGAACATTGGGGCAGGTAGCGTTGACCTGAAAGATGTTAAGATAAGACAGACAGACAAAAACACACACACAGAGAGACAACATATTAGTGTCTAGTAGAGAATCAGAGTGAAGGGGAGTATCACTATGATGACTATCAGTAACACAGTATGTGATGGTAGAGGCTGATCTGTTGGGTGCCATCATACTGACTGCCTGACTGGGTTAGAGATAACAGGAGCATGAGAACTGGCTAGTCTTCTACCAGGGTTAAAGCTATTAAGAATGTGGAAGGGAGGGGGTGTGAGTGAGAGAAAGATTAAGATAGAAGAAGAGAGTGCGAAAGTGACAGAAAGCAAAAGAGTGAAAGAAACAGACAGAAGACCCGGAGGAGAGGACACAGCAGGAATCTGAGCGTACCTGCGCTTGCTGATTCCGTTCTCCTGTGACATGGAGCCATTGTTCCTCTGGGTGCCGTCATACACCACAGCATCTTTAAAACTGGCCTCCGACGTGCCTTCATACGACTCATCAGAGTCCAAGCCTAACACACACATTAAGGGTTGGCCACAAATTAGGGAACGGCTATACAGTACATAACTCACCTTGCCTGACCAGGTTACCTAATATAGAATGATATGATATACATATAAAAATAAAGTAAAACAGTCTGACAATTAGGCTACGGGTCAAAGCAATGACTACATGAGAGGGAGCCGCAGAACTGATCGAAATATGACGTGATACACATTGTGACATAACATCCACTGTCTGACACTGAACCAAGCATTGATATTGTTGAAAAGAGAAAGGTGTGGTGCCCTGTTAAAATTGTAAATAAATGATGTCACTAATAATTTGCTTGGCCTCAGTCAACCGGAACACCTCTAGCCATGTGATCTGGGCTTCATTAGAGGATCAGATAGACAGGAACAATATTGTGAAGACACACTGTGCTCAGCAGGTCACCCCACATTCAGCGCACTCTCTCTTTATACATCCTTTCATCCCCTCGCAGGCACACATGAACAACCGCACACACATCTCCGCTGCTGTTTTTAGCAACACCCTTTGCGTTGACCACCACATCCAGCTGACTAAGCATCATATTTTTATGGCAGGTTTATGGCAAACGCCCATCATGGACGGTGAATAGACCACTGCATTATTGATGCTATCAGTTAAGCTGCTAAGGTTACAGCATATTGTGTGGCACTGGGCCACAGTGTGAGGTACAGTACAAAGACACATCTCTAACTCCTGACCATGACAGTGTCAAAGCAACATTCCAAAACGCCAAGAGACAAAAAATGAGTCACAGTCACTGTTATGTCTCTGTGTGTGTGTGTGTGTGTTTGTTATCCTGGTGCCGACGATGATGGCGGCCTCGCGACTAACTCTTAGGAAACTTTGCATTTTGTTTTTTTATGCATTCTTTTTTACATTATTAGCTCAGAAAGTGTTACTAGATTTGTGTGTATTGGGTATATGTTGTGAAATTGTTAGATATTACTTGTTAGATATTACTGCACTGTCGGAGCTAGAAGCACAAGCATTTCGCTACACCCGCAATAACATCTGCTAAACACGTGTATGTGACCAATAACATTTGATTTGTGTGTGTGTTCCATTCTCCTACCGGTTTGTGGTTACATCTGAAGGTCTTGTAAGTCATTCTATTATCTAAGCCCCCCCTGCGCGGACAGGGCCACTTACCTGTTACGGCGTCGTAAAATTCATCATCGTTGTTCATTGTACAGGGTCAAAGCCGGACCTCCAGGTGCTAGTGGAGAGGGAGGAGCCTCTAAAACATGGTCCCTCTAGTGGGCCTCACTGGTCACTGGCACGACAACTTCCTCCTCCACCACCACGTCAGGACAGGCAGCAGCTCACACAGCAAACCTGCTGGACACATACTGTAAACACTTCAGGATTGTATTCATTAGTGCACACCGTAGCAAAATGGTTTGCAACGGAAGACGAAACAAGTTCTGGTAGTCCCTCGTTTTAGTCGTTTTCTTCTGTTTAGTGCCTAATGGATGTGACCCAGACCATGACAGGCCACCACTAACGTCCGCACATCAACAATAGTAATACAACTAGGCAATCTGTTCATCAAACTCCCATTAATTTCATATCAACACACTCATTCACTCTAACAGTATATTAAGTTTTCTCCTTGCTGTCCCTCTAGTCTAGCAGTTGTGGTTTCTGGTTAGAAGTGGATCCAGTGAGAGGTTGCCTGCATGGACCAATGAGCCCAAATAAACAGTGCTCCTATTACATAAACAAACACAGGAGCAAAATGGCTGCCGTTTGCTGTGGCTCTTTATTGGTCTCCGTCTATCTGGTGTTAGCCTGATCCTGAACTCGCTCTCGCCCTCTCTCTCTGGGTTAGCCTTACCTGCTGTTCTGCTGTCTAACTCCTAGCCTCTGGTCTGGGAGGTTTTTCTGGGTGGTGATCTGAGTGCAGGAGGACTAGGGTGGGTGACTGACTGTTCTCAGGGAACGCCTCAAAAACACACACTCACTGTTGAACTTGACTGTACCATGATCGATAAGCGAGGAGGATCTGTGTTGGTGTGTAGGCCCTGTGCTCAGTTCCGCCCAAAGGATGGGTCACATCTCTGCCCCATATGAAAGTATGTATGGCGGTATTTGACAGTGTTCTTTTTTTTTTTTTTTAGTCAGCCACCAATTGTGCAAGTTCTCCCACTTAAAAAGATGAGGCCTGTAATTTTCATCATAGGTACACATCAACTATGACAGACAAATAGAGAAAAAAAATTCCAGAAAATCACATTGTAGGATTTTTTATGAATTTATTTGCAAATTATGGTGGAAAATAAGTATTTGGTCAATAACAAAAGTTTCTCAATACTTTGTTATATACCCTTTGTTGACATTGAGACAGGTCAAACGTTTTCTGTAAGTCTTCACAAGGTTTTCACACACTGTTGCTGGTATTTTGGCCCATTCCTCCATGCAGATCTCCTCTAGAGCAGTGATGTTTTGGGGCTGTCGCTGGGCAACACGGACTTTCAACTCCCTCCAAAGATTGTCTATGGGGTTGAGATCTGGAGACTGGCTAGGCCACTCCAGGACCTTGAAATGCTTCTTACGAAGCCACTCCTTCGTTGCCCGGGCGGTGTGTTTGGGATCATTATCATGCTGGAAGACCCAGCCACGTTTCATCTTCAATGCCCTTGCTGATGGAAGGAGGTTTTCACTCAAAATCTCACGATACATGGCCCCATTCATTCTTTCCTTTACACGGATCAGTCGTCCTGGTCCCTTTGCAGAAAAACAGCCCCAAAGCATGATGTTTCCACCCCCATGCTTCACAGTAGGTATGGTGTTCTTTGGATCCAACTCAGCATTCTTTGTCCTCCAAACACGACGAGTTGAGTTTTTACCAAAAAGTTCTATTTTGGTTTCATCTGACATTCTCCCAATCCTCTTCTGGATCATCCAAATGCACTCTAGCAAACTTCAGACGGGCCTGGACATGTACTGGCTTAAGCAGGGGGACACATCTGGCACTGCAGGATTTGAGTCCCTGGCGGCGTAGTGTGTTACTGATGGTAGGCTTTGTTACTTTGGTCCCAGCTCTCTGCAGGTCATTCACTAGGTCCCCCTGTGTGGTTCTGGGATTTTTGCTCACCATTCTTGTGATCATTTTGACCCCACGGGTGAGATCTTGCATGGAGCCCCAGATCGAGGGAGATTATCAGTGGTCTTGTATGTCTTCCATTTCCTAATAATTGCTCCCACAGTTGATTTCTTCAAACCAAGCTGCTTAGCTATTGCAGATTCAGTCTTCCCAGCCTGGTGCAGGTCTACAATTTTGTTTCTGGTGTCCTTTGACAGCTCTTTGGTCTTGGCCATAGTGGAGTTTGGAGTGTGACTGTTTGAGGTTGTGGACAGGTGTCTTTTATACTGATAACAAGTTCAAACAGGTGCCATTAATACAGGTAACGAGTGGAGGACAGAGGAGCCTCTTAAAGAAGAAGTTACAGGTCTGTGAGAGCCAGAAAACTTATTTTCCACCATAATTAGCAAATAAATTCATAAAAAAATCCTACAATGTGATTTTCTGTCATAGTTGACGTGTACCTATGATGAAAATTACAGGCCTCTTTCATCTTTTTAAGTGGGAGAACTTGCACAATTGGTGGCTGACTAAATACTTTTTCCCCCCCACTGTATATGCCAAATTAGCCCACAACATAGACCTAGGACTATATATCCTTTAAAATTGCAGGTGTAACATGGACACCAAAAGTTACAGGTCTGTGAGAGCCAGAAATCTTGCTTGTTTGTAGGTGACCAAATACTTATTTTCCACCATAATTTGCAAATAAATTCATTAAAAATCCTACAATGTGATTTTCTGGAAAAAAAATTCTCTATTTGTCTGTCATAGTTGACGTGTACCTATGATGAAAATTACAGGCCTCTCATCTTTTTAAGTGGGAGAACTTGAACAATTGGTGGCTGACTAAATACTTTTTTTCCCCACTGTAAAAGTTGGTCTAATTTACTTGAAACGAAAGGCTACTGAAGTGAAACTTTGTCCTTGCGTTTCTTGGCTATTCCATATTGTTTTGTTCACAAGCTAGGTTGTTTTTCTATGTTAGAGTTTCAACTGCTAGGGAAGAGAAGACAACGCTTCTACTAGTCAGACAATCTCACAGGCACAAACATGACTCGAGTCACATTACCACGGTAACCTCCTGCCAGACCATCCTCAGTGAATTTCATAAAAATACTCATAGTGAAACATTTAAAAAGTGAACCTTTTTAGATAAAATTATACTAAATATATTCACGTCACCAAATAATGTATTAAAACACACTGTTTTGGAATTAAGGTCTACAGTAGCCTCAGCAGCACTCTGTAGGGTAGCCCCATGGTGTAGCCGGAGGACAGCTAGCTTCTGTCCTCCTCTGGGTACATTGACTTCAATATAAATATCAGAGCTCTTGCAGCATGAACTGACATGTTGTCAACCCAATCAAAGGATCCGAGAATGAATCTAGTACTGAAAGCATAAGCTACAGCTAGCACTGCAGCGCATAAAATGTAGTGAGTAGTTGACTCAGAGAGAGCAAGACAATAGTTGAACAGTTTTGAACAAATTAATTTCTTCCAAAATTGAGAAGAGAGCGAGAGCTACATTTGACTGTATTTTTTTAAAAACTTTCACTTAGCTAGGGAATGCAGCCTACTCAAACTGAGAGGGATGCTATGTTAGCTTGCTGGCTATCCAACACCGGAACTCTTCCAAGTCAAGGTAAGCTTTTGGTTTTATTCATTTATTGCCCCGGGGCCCGCCAGTGTAACTGCTTTCTGACTGTACTGCATGATTGTAGCGGGTTTACTAATGTGTTAGTTCTAGTAGCTCTGTTGACTATGAGGTGACAACGAAGTAGACTGTGTGTAGCGGTTAGCAGTCATGATATAAAACGTTTGGCTTGGAAAGTTTTTTTCCACCTGGTCACAGACAGCTGATGTGTTGTGCACTGAAGTCCACAAGCGAAGGGAAAAGGTGAGAGGAGGAGAGCGCGTAAATAGTTGTGAGAAGGAATATATATATATATATATATATATATATATATATATATATACACACATATATATATACACACACACACACACACACACACACAGTGGGGAGAACAAGTATTTGATACACTGCCGATTTTGCAGGTTTTCCTACTTACAAAGCATGTAGAGGTCTGTAATTTTTATCATAAGTACACTTCAACTGTGAGAGACGGAATCTAAAACAAAAATCCAGAAAATCACATTGTATGATTTTTAAGTAATTAATTTGCATTTTATTGCATGACATAAGTATTTGATACATCAGAAAAGCAGAACTTAATATTTGGTACAGAAACCTTTGTTTGCAGTTACAGAGATCACACGTTTCCTGTAGGTCTTGACCAGGTTTGCACACACTGCAGCATGGATTTTGGCCCAATCCTCCATACAGACCTTCTCCAGATCCTTCAGGTTTCGGGGCTGTCGCTGGGCAATACAGACTTTCAGCTCCCTCCAAAGATTTTCTATTGGGTTCAGGTCTGGAGACTGGCTAGGCTACTCCAGGACCTTGAGATGCTTCTTACGGAGCCACTCCTTAGTTGCCCTGGCTGTGTGTTTGGGGTCGTTGTCATGCTGGAAGACCCAGCCACGACCCATCTTCAATGCTCTTACTGAGGGAAGGAGGTTGTTGGCCAAGATCTCGCGATACATGGCCCCATCCATCCTCCCCTCAATACGGTGCAGTCGTCCTGTCCCCTTTGCAGAAAAGCATCGCCAAAGAATGATGTTTCCACCTCCATGCTTCACGGTTGGGATGGTGTTCTTGGGGTTGTACTCATCCTTCTTCTTCCTCCAAACACGGCAAGTGGAGGTTAGACCAAAAAGCTCTATTTTTGTCTCATCAGACCACATGACCTTCTCCCATTCCTCCTCTGGATCATCCAGATGGTCATTGGCAAACTTCAGACGGGCCTGGACATGCGCTGGCTTGAGCAGGGGGACCTTGCGTGCGCTGCAGGATTGTAATCCATGACGGCGTAGTGTGTTACTAATGGTTTTCTTTGAGACTGTTGTCCCAGCTCTCTTCAGGTCATTGACCAGGTCCTGCTGTGTAGTTCTGGGCTGATCCCTCACCTTCCTCATGATCATTGATGCCCCACGAGGTGAGATCTTGCATGGAGCCCCAGACCGAGGGTGATTGACCGTCATCTTGAACTTCTTCCATTTTCTAATAATTGCGCCATCAGTTGTTGCCTTCTCACCAAGCTGCTTGCCTATTGTCCTGTAGCCCATCCCAGCCTTGTGCAGGTCTACAATTTTATCCCTGATGTCCTTACACAGCTCTCTG